TTTTCACTAAAATATAGACATTGTCTATACAAAATGAGGCAAATTTGTATTTCATACCTACTACATCCAGCACAAAAATACCTACTTCCATATGTGTCCTTTGCAGACATATTTGGTACAAAGTGTACATTAGTGATTTACATTACTGTAATTTATGTAGAGAGACAAAGATCTCAAAAAAACAGAAGAGACAAAAGACTAAAGCACAGACAAAAAAATACTGCATAAGAAACTATATAAAGGAAGACTGCTAATGCAATGATATAAAACAATATTTCTAAGGTACACATGCAATTTGCCCTTTGTATCTATTCTCACCAGGTAACAAAAATCAGTGCTTGATTACTAAAATAGAACACCATGCCTTTTGAGAAGGCTGTTGGCACTTCAAAGCAAAGTGAAAAAGCAGTGTCAAACCCATAGTCATGCAGTTCCCACTTGAACACAAACAGTTTGCAGAAGTGTGAATAAAAAAAACCCAACAGGCTGATCAAAGGATCCATGTAATAACATGGAACTCATACTTTCAAACATAACCCTTTCAGTACCCCATTATAATCTTATCAAGACACTAGACTTATTTTCCTGTCAAATATGTGTGTGATAAAAATGTCCTGAGAACACCACATGGTAAGTACTGCATTGAAATGCTGTTACCTTTGGGCCACATATACTGATTTGTGACACAACAATGAAGTTGGGGAGAACCCCAAAGAAAACAGTTTTGCAAAACAGTTACCTGCAAAACTGCTTTTATATGTCAAAGCAGTCCCGGATATGTTTAAAATACCTTTTAACATTTTAACTACTTAAGTATCACATTATGACTAATTTTAAAAGAATCTTAGGGAACTAGGTACAAGTCTTATCTGCAGACTGCCTCATGGCTCCAGATTGCTTTGCAGAACCATTAATTAGGAAATACATTCTTTTTTATCTGTTCTAACAACACTTGCTTATCAGACAGCACATTATACAGAATGTATTATCACCGAAACCAATTAGTTTGGATTACCTTCACTTCACCCCCCTCCCTGGAGGGCAGATAAGAGCAGCTATCTCCATTTTGGCCATGCCTGCTCTCCTTTTTGACCTAGCCTGCACACCCTGGCACAGAACTGTGCTGATCTTGCCAAATGCTTGGACTAATCATCAAGTAACTGAGGCTACTGAGAGTAATGGAAGGCATTCCCAATGGAGAAGGCCCTGCCTGGGAAATGGGAAATGCAACAGGCTTCTCTTTTTTACCTGTCAAAGCCATAGAGCAAACAGGATGAAGGAGAGGGAGAGCAGTGATACCTGCATCTTTATTAAGGTCTGCAAAAGTATTTAAACTGGACTCAAAAAGTCAAGCAATCTACAACAAAGTGAACCAGTTCAGTGAGAAAACCTCTAAAAGATAAAATTTTACTTTCAGAATAGTGTGGCATTATTCGTTTGACAAGTTTTTAGAATTAGCAAAAATATATGCTTCCTTAAATGGGTTGTGGGGTAAGAGAGTAATACAGTACAATGATGCATACTAGAAACAGCAAAAAATAAAAATATTATATCTTCTAGATAATTTTAGATGCAGTGCATCTATTTGATGAATCCTTTCTCCAGTAACACAAATGTTCTATTTTTATCAAATTCATACACACCTTAGGGAGATGTCTTCACTGCCAGAGATACCTGTGAGAGATGAAAAGATTGATGTCCAGAGACCCTCTGGAGTGCAGGTGTGAGGGCACAGGGGCAGGTCAGGCCTTGCCCTGGTGCCCTGCTGCACACCCCCCACCCTAGAGCCTGCTGCACCCCAGCCCTGCTGTGGCTGCCAGTTCCTGGCACAGGGGAAGCAGTGCTCCACACCCCACCTCTGGAGCCCCTAACCCAGCTCCTAAGCGGCCAAATGACCACGAGTCCCACCTGGGGGAAGGGCCCAGGAAGGCCAAGGGGTATTTAAGGCCAAACACAAAGAAATCAGATCTCTTGATCCTACTTCCTCTTGGAATTTTTATCTCAGTACCACTGGAATCCAGGAGTTGGTACTGATATGTGTCCTTTTCTGGATCTTTTCTGCCTTCCTTTCTTCTTCTAATTCCTTCTTCTTGGAATTTTTAAGAACTTTAAACTGAATTGGTTTACAGTTTGCTAAGTTGAATGGGCCAAGTTAATGCTTTGAGAAATGTTTTATGTTGATTGAATGCTGCATTAAACCCTTTTCAAAGTTTCTTTGATTTTCTAAAGTTGCCAATAAAGTTCTTTTTGCTGTTTTGATCTCTTGAGAACACCTTGTCAGTATTTCTCCTGTGGGTCTAACGTAGAGTACACGAACAACTAAGACCTTTCCAATGGCTCATCAAGTGAGTTGCTTGCGGCCTTTACAGCACTCAAACCTTCTTATTCTCTGGCTCAACATTTCTCTAAATTAGTGTGCTGGGTTTGGCCTGGAGAGAGTTAAATTTCTCCATAGCAGCTGGTATGGTGCTGTGTTTTGGATTTGTGCTGGGCACAGTGTTGGTAATTCCAGGATGATTTTGTCATTGCTGAGCAGTGCTCACACACAGTCAAAGCCTTTCCTGCACCTCACACAGCCCCAGCAGGGAGGAGAATGGGGTGCACAAGGAGCTGGGAGGGGACACAGCCAGGACCAGCTGAGCACAGGGATATCCCACACCACAGGGTGTCATGCTCAGCATACAAACCTGGGGAAGAAGGGGGAAGGGGAGGTGTTTGCAGTGACAGTGTTTGTTCCCAAGTCTCCTTACGTGTGGTGCAGCCCTGGCTGTGGCTGAGCACCAGCCTGCCCATGGGAGCTGCTGGATGGATGCCTTGCTTGGCTTTGTTTGTGTGCACAGCTTTTCATTTACCTACTGAACTGCCTTTACCTCAACCCACAATTTTCCTCACTTTTACCCTTTTGATCGTCTCCCCCATCCTGCTGCTGGAGTGAGTGAACAGCTGTGCAGCATTTAGTTGCCAGCTGGGGTTAAACCAAAACCATCAGTCACCATCAACCACCTGTAGGAGATTCCCCCATAGAAAGTAAACCAACCCCCAGCTCAGCCCCATTCCCTCCCCTTCACTTTGAACAAACAGACTGATGTAGTACATCCATGCAGTAACATCTGTCTGTGGTTAAAGCAAGCTGTGCTACCAGTGTGACAAGTGCCAAACAAGGCTGTCTGCCGATCTGTAGCATCTCTACAAGGCCATTTGTTTCCAAAATACAACAATTTACAATAGTGAATGTGTGTTGTAACACACATTACAACCTCCTGCAGTTGCTTATTGCTTATTCCCTCCACAGCCATTGCAATGCAATCACAGAGACAGGAAATAACTTTAAATTGTCATTAGAACAACCTCACAAAGACAAAAATCTAAACACTAGACACAAGACCTATCACAAAGATAAATTCATAGCAAGGTAACAGTGCATGCTGCAAACACTTTTTTGGACTACTACACAAGTAAGTGTAGTAGTCCCCACAGAGTGAAGAAACCAGTCTACATTCAAGCACTTTAGATTCCATATATACTACCTAACTCAAAATACAAACAGATTTCCCAAGGTTCAACCAAAATTCTACCACATATTGCAGAAAGCTCTCTTTATTTCATAGTAAAAGCTAAGTAGACCTAAAAAGCTTTATGAAGTGTAAGAACACTTTAAAATAAAGCATGCTTAGTTACAAACTATCCACATTTTCTCATTTTGCTGCACTTAACTGCATTCTCTAAAACAAATTATGATGACAATTTTAGTGACTAGTGAGGGATGTTGCTGAGTTAACCTGAACTACTCTACAAACAATAAACATGAATATACCATCTTGAAACAATAGCCACAGATAAGAACAGGCATACAAAAAGGGCAGGCCTTTCCTTGTAGTCAATTTTTAAAACCCCTATTTTAGAGATTACTTTAGCCTGCTTTGCTCTGACAAGACTAAAAAGCACATAAGTTGTTCTGGAATCACCCTAAGGTATCCAGCACCTTTGCCCCTGCGTGTTTGTTTACGTTGCCACTTTTCAGGGTAAATATACTGAAATTTACGAATCCCTTAGAGCTTTGTTTTTTCTACAGACACTATGCAAAAATCCATTCTCCAATTTGCCCACTGATAAAGTAAGGGTGACAAATGTGGATGTGAAATCTTTTGTGGCAGACTTTTGTCAGCAATCTTTCCCCAGTAAAACATCCTCCTTCAGAACACTGCAATATATGGTGGGTATAGTTACCCATTAAGTGTGAACGAACATGGGAAACTGAACATGTTTTGCAGCCTGAAACAAGCTGTTTATTATTTGGCTCTACTAGCCTCTCACAACTGTTTGTCTTCCTGCGTACTGAGAGCAGAAGATGTTTTAGACAAAGACTGAACTGGAGGTATATCACCGCTCCCGAGTTTGCTGTGTTGAGTGGATATAGAACACAGTTTCTCACACAGGACAAGCACAGTCTTGCAGCACCACAGATCTATCCAGAACCACAGACTACACAGAAATCCCCTGAGACGTTTCCCATTTATCCCGCTATGCCGGGGCCAGCGCAGCCCGGTCCGTGCGCTCCGCCCAGCGAGGCCAGGCCCGGCCCGGCACCCCCGGCCTAGCGGGGCCCAGCGGGGCAGACCCACACACCCCGAGGGGCTCCGGGCCGAGGGCCGCGGCTGGGAATGGACCTGCTGGGCCAGCGGCAGCGCCGAGGGACGGCCAGAACCCCAGGAGCCCTAACCCAAGGTAGCCGCAGGCCACCTCACCTCACCTCGCATCCCTTTCCACCTCAGGTGTGCCAAACGCCAGCAGAGACAGGCGCTCTTACGGGCGAGGATCCAGATCGCCTCCGCTCTGGGGACAGCCGCTGTCTCTGGGTGACTCCCAAGCGCAGATGCCAGCGGGGTTTGCCCTCCTCTCTCCTCACCCGGATCTCCCAGCCCCTGCGCTGGCAGCGGGCGCGCCGCGCTCCGCCGCCGCCTGAGCGCTGGCAGACGCGCACTGCGCCTGCGGGCCCTCACCTGAGCCGCCGGGATCCCAGCGCTGCCGGGCGCCTCCCGGGCTCGCCAGCCGGGCCCGCGCCCGCTCCGGCAGCCGCCGCCGCCGCCGCCGCCAGGGACGCCGGGCCCCCGCCCTCCATCGCCAGCAGAGAGCGCGGCCAGCGGCGCTGCCCCGGCTCCGGGGCGGGGTGACCCCAGCGGCTCCCGCTCCGCCCTCCCCGGGACGCTGCTCGGCCCCGGGCGCTGCCGAGCCGGGCGGGGCCGGGGCAGCTCCGAGCGGGATGCTGCGGGACACGCGTGGGCATCGCCCGTGTCCCATGGGTTCTTTCACAGGTGTTTCCAGTACTGCTGCAGATCTGTTTCCTAAACAAACAACAAAGGGAGGGGTACCCAAGCACAACCACAGCTGCTTGTTGTTCTGCTTGTTGTTTGAGGCATTTAATAATTTCTTACTTTGTGCTCGTCTTCTGGTAAGCGCAAACCCCTCTCAGACACATACTAATTATTTTCAGTCTAAGTCAGACAAATTTATTATTTATGTAGCTGCTATTTTTTCAAGACTTTTCTCTCCCCAAAACCAACCAAACCAGCGTGAAACTTGTCCTTTAATTACACACTTTGGATTGTGGATATTTTGGGTTCTCTCATCTCTCCCTATCTTACACCCTGCCCTGACAATTGTTTTTTACAGCTGATGTGAAAAATCTAACAGAAACACTGTAGCCTAAGTGCTCACTACACGAGAGTAGCAATACTCGTTTCTAGGGTGAACAACCTCAACAGACCATCAGTGGTTGAAAATTGTGGAGAGAAGGGACGAAAGGCATGCACCATCTGACTGCTCCATTTGTGTTTCTCCTGGGGTGCACACCCCAGGAGAGTTCCACAGAGTTCCACATCACACAGATTCCTGGGTACATCTGGTCTTCCCAGTACTCTTCAGATGATCTGCTGTAGAGTGCATATCTGCACATCTATGATGATGATTAGAGTTTGTGGTTTAAATTTGTTCAGTGTAACCTTCATGGCATTACTTTAAATTTAAAACAGAGAAAAATTCTTCTTAGAAATAGCACTCAAATATGATTGCTACCTAAAAATTTGGCTCTCATGTCTTATCATAAAATAATAAATTATACTTAGAAAATAATGAGATAAATATTTTTTTCTTTATAACACAAAGATAATTCTTCACTTCAAGTGTAAAATATAATTGAAATGATACATATATTGCAGCCTTGGTAGCTAGAGACTTTCTTTAATATCTGGTTTTTTAGGTGTCTCAGAACACCTGATATGAAAAAGGGATTGAAGCATCATGAGCTCTTAAATGTTATCCAGGGACCCTGAATAGGATTAATAACCTCAAGAGTGTAAGCTGAAATGATGTTTAAGATCTTTCAGAAAGCATACAGCTTCAATTTTTTTACTTTTCACAAACCTATTTCTAACATTTTATATATATTTTACTTTCATAGCACCTCTTGATATTCAATATTTTTTAGTGGGAAAATAAAAAATGCACACCAAACAATTAAATACAATAAAAAATGAAGTCTTTATTCTTTTGGCTCAACTGTAATGTGGTTTACTGTTCTTTATGGTAATAGCATTTTCCTGCATGCAGTTCACCGACACACAAGTCAATATTTTTGTAAAAGGAGGAGTCAACATCGAATTTTTGCTTGTGTAAGAAACACAAAATGTCCTGATGTGATCAATTATACAAGTTTGCTATTTAATTCCTGTGGAAAAAAAAAAGCATTGTGGATCCCATATTATATTTAGAACAGTTCTAGTGCAGCATGAATCAACAAGAATAAGAATAGTCTATGTAAACAAACACTGGTAAAGATTTCATGAATAAAAATACTACCTTGAAACTTCTGATGCAGGCAGTGCTAGAATCTTAAACAAATCCTCCCCACCACATTTCAATTACAAGTTATATCTATTTGGAAGCAAGTGCATTTTGGACTCAGTTTGAAACTTATTTCACATTAAAATGTGTGCAAAAATACAGTACTAATAAAAAAGCAGAAACCTAAAGCTACCCCATTCTTTCCTTTGTTTCTTATTTTGTGAAGTTCTTGAATTAAAAAGTGCTATGGATAGAAAGTAATAAAAGTGACAGTAACATCAACCTGAAGATAATTCTCATTTCTTATTTTATGTACAAAATGCTGAAAAATAAAATAAAATGGTATTTTTTACATTATTTATATTTTCTTAGAAAATTCTATCCATGTAGTTTTCAACAGATTAAGCAGTTTGCAACATATCCTGTACAGTCTGACTATGCACTGTACAGTAGTCACTTAAAATTTTAGAATGCAAAGCAAGAAGCTCTTAAATAACTGCAAACTATTGCTTGATGTCGTGAAAGAATGATGACCAATTGAACAATTTATTTCACTTAACCACTGAGCTATGGCTTCCCATATTAGACTCTTAACAGTGGAAGGAGTAAAATTACAGCAGCAAAGGCAAGATAAACATGCATCAGTGATAGCTTCCAAACTGTCTATAATGGTACAGAATACTTCATATTAGCTGTTGAGAGATTGCAAATTACACTTACTGTGGTACATATTTGATGCAATAAATATTGTGCACATGTCATTATTTGTTTGCTCAAACATGCACCACGGGATAAAATAACTATTTACAGAGAGGGTACTTTTTTAATCAACACATACAATGTCAACCTTGCTGAGAGCAGAAGATGGCTAAATGATACTGCAGGGTGAAGCAGAACAACTTCATAATCCTTGTGTTTTGCAGGTTTTTGGTAAGCTCAATTTCCCAAGGTCAGGTAAACTGTTTTCCGCAGAAGAATACTTAGAAGTGGACTCTATGTCCCTCGGTAAAATTTTTATACAGAGATTGTTCAACTACTGTTAAATGACTTATGAAAAAATAAAACATCTGTTCTATTATTGTAGACTCTATGGGACTTTACAGGCACATTAAGATTTGTCTGGATGAGATACGGATACTGTTATTAAGCACCTCAACATACAGAGCCACCCTGAAACATGGAAGTAGTCAGACTGCTGCTTTGTGCGACGTCATGTTTTCCCATGCATGAACTACAAGTGCAGCATGCCTTCATGCAAATCACTTCTGTTTGTACATTATAGAGAATCCGAGAGTAGAACACCTGGTCCTCATACCCCCTTCCCCAACATAAAACCCATTTACAAAAATAGTCACATATAATAGTAAACAACCTGTGAATTAAAAAATGATAGGTTCACCAACACTGATTTTTGTAAAAATATGGCAAATGTGACTGTTGAAATGCTAACAGTGGATACAATTTTTGTACTGTGTGTTTCATGTTAAACACAGAGATTCATAGGTTTGCACCTTATTTTTTTAACTGGTCCCTACAGTCTGGTTGGCCATTTTATCATCTCTTCAGCAGTGTCAGCTGGTACTAAAAACAACAACCTCCTGTCAAGATGTTACCCTGTTTTACAGAGTTGCAGTTTGATGACGAGGGGTCACTGTCTTGCTATAGGCACTGACCTTATATATATATATATATAATTATATATATATCTATATATGTAAAAACTGACAGTTTGGCATGTACCTCCTACAGGAGTCCTGTTGACACAAATACATACTTTTTCAGGCTGTAAACAGTTTATTACAAACAGATTTCTATGTTACTTTTTACTTTCCCTGCTGTCTTTACCTTTATCTTCTTTTTCTGACTTGTCTTTTTCATATTTATCCTTGTCTGGCTTTGTTACACTGTCATAAGAAGGTGGGGAGGTTGTGGATGGGGTCATATCTGTTTTTTCTGGAGTGGAGTTCTCATTTAGTTTATCCATAATCATATCTTCTTTCATGGGCAGATCATCTTCCTCTTTACCTTTATCCTGACTAAATATACATGATACTTTTTTGACTTTTTGCCTCAGGAGATGACGTCTGTAAGCACGCTGAATGATGACAGCAGACACCTCCTCCTGCTTTCGTTTCAGTGTGGTTGTAATTGGTTCATAGGAGACTTTAGAAGGATTGGCTGCCATAAACCGATCTTCCATCTGTATTCTGAGGGCATCCATCTCCCCACTTTCCCCCAAAACACGCTTTGTGAAAGCAAACAAGATGTCAAGGCAGTGAATTCTGTCACCGCTCACCATGGGCAGATCCATTGCAATGAGCTGGACTTTGTTGGGTTTTGCTATGAGAAGAGGTGGATCTAATGAAGCGGCAAAATCTGATAATTTACTGAACTCTATGAACTGTGTTGCATCGGGGTCAAACTTCTCCCAGACTTCATAGAACATCTCAAAGTCATCCTCGCTCAAGGGTTCAGCGCTTTCTTCGGTAGCAACACTGAAGTTCTCCAAAATCACAGCAATGTACATGTTCACCACTACCAGAAAGGATATGATAATGTAGCTGACAAAGAAGAAAATCCCAACAGAAGGGTTGCCACAGTCACCTTTCACAGAGCTCCCTGGATGATCTTTATGGGGGTCACAGTCTGGCTCCCCACTGTTGAGAATTGGGGCGAGCAAACCGTCCCAGCCAGCGGACGTGGTGATCTGGAACAGGCAGATCATGCTGTTGCCAAACGTTTCAAAGTTGAACATGTCATCAATCCCAACTTCCCTCTTGACGTAGGCAAAGTTGGACATGCCAAATATGGCATAGATGAACATGACCAGGAAGAGCAGCAGCCCAATGTTGAACAAAGCAGGAAGAGACATCATCAAAGCAAAAAGCAGAGTGCGGATTCCCTTAGCGCCTTTAATGAGGCGCAGGATTCGACCGATCCTGGCAAGCCGGATGACTCTGAATAGTGTGGGAGATACAAAGTACTTCTCAATCATCTCAGCCAAAAACATACCTGGGAAAAAACAAGTTAAATCAGTAATGAGTATTATTACATTTTAAAACCACTGCTAAAGATATATTCTACAAGGATTGTAGAACTTTAAGAGTAGGATACTTAAACAGATTTTTAGGAATTAGCCATTCAGTTTTTTTACAAAACCTTTGTGTTTGGTATACTTTTTTAGGACAAACTGATAACTAGTGTATGTATTTTAGTAA